CTAGTTCGGCCCCTTACGATGAAGGTAAAAGCCTACGTCTAGTTGGGATTGGTATTGCTGAGGTTTCGATCTCCAAGAGGCTCAACTCGCCGGCTTGGCGATCGACTTGATTGTTTCTTGCCCTAAGCCGCCACCGGGTCGTCCTCTTATATACACGGGTTGACGCCTGGTGGCTTACAGAGTCCCGGCCGGCTCATAATCGTGTCCGGCTTGGTGACTTCCTTTACCTGCCTTTCTTTACAAGTCTTTCCGCCCATATGGCGGTTTACAATAACGGGCCTTAAGCCGGCCCAAGGCCTTTGGGCTTTCTATATATACTAATAAACTATCATCTTGACTGTATATTGAGATTCTTACGTAACCCGCCATTAAGGCTGACCTGGCCCCTCCTGGGCGGGTTTTAGCTGATAGTAATATCCCCAACACAAGTCTTGGAGCGTCTTTTGCATTTAGGTTTTTATTTTTCTTTTTATACACCATGCTGGTATGAGATAGTCCTTGGTTGATTTATGGAATGCTCTTTGCACTTCACTTATATTTTTTGAGTATGGCTTTATAGAATGCTTCATGTGCTTCACTTATATCAGAAGACGACCGAAGGAGGAGAATGAAAAAAGACCTAAGTAGTACCTATTTATAAGGGGGTGCGCGAACAGGCGGGCGTGAAAATCAAGGAGACCCGAATAAATGATTATCCAAATAAATGGACACCTCGATTCTCGGAAGGCATTAAAAAATGAAAGATCCATTGAAAGATGACGTCATGAAGGTTTTTTGTGTTTCCAGAAGATGACGTCACGGCGGGTTACAGAAGTTTTTAGACAGAGGATGCATTCCACCCAAGTATTGAAGATTGACAAAGAACAGAGTTCAAAGTCAACCTGGGGCCTAATGTTGGGGATATTACTACCAGTATGACCCGCCCAGGAGGGGCCGGGTCAGCTCTAATGGCGGGTTACAGAAGAAGCCCGATAAATATTCAAGATGATAGTTTACTAAATGTATAGAAGGCCCAAAGGCCTGGGGCCGGCTTAAGGCCTGATACTGTAAACCGCCGTATGTAAGGAAATACTTGTACAAGAAAGGCATGTAAAGGAAGTCACCGAGCCGGACACGATTATGAGCCGGCCGAGACTCTGTACGACACGAGGCGTCAACCCGTGTATATAAGGGGACGACCCGGTGGCGGTTTAGGGCAAGAAACAACCAAGTCGATAACCAAGCCGGCGAGTTGAGCCTCTTGGAGATCGAAACCTCAGCAATACCAATACCAATTAGATGTAGGCTTTTACCTTCATCGTAAGGGGCCGAACTAGTATAAAACTCTCTTGTGTGTCCTTTGTCCCGATTAACCCCTTTAAGCTTCCTAGTGCGATGGCCCTACGACTAAGTCCTTGCTCTAGGAAATCTGTCGTGTCAACTCCACGACAAACAAGGAACAAACTCCATCTTCACCTGCAACTAGCAACGCTATAAGAGGAGCTGAGCAAAGCGGTAACATAGCCAAACAACGGTTTGCTAGGACAAGGTAGGTTAGAGGTTTGACATGGCAATATGGGAGGCATGATAAAGCATGTGGTAGGTATCGCAGCAAAGGCATAGCAATAGAGCGAGCATCTAGCAAGCAAAGATAGAAGTGATTTCGAGGTTATGGTCATCTTGCCTGCAAAGTTCTCCGAGAAGGCGAAAGCTTGAACCTCGTAAGCGTACTCAACTGGTTCCTCGGTCACGTACTCGTCTCCCGGCTCTACCCAAAGCAAGAACACAAGCAAAGGGAGACACAATCAACCACGGTGCAATGCACAAGCAACATGATGCAAAACATGGCATGATATGCAGGATGTGTTATGCGATGCATATGCATGTTTCGGAAAGGAAAGATTGAACCTGGCCTCAACTTGGAAAACCAAGAGTGTCGCTGGAAAGATGAGTTGATTTCGGTCGAAATCGATATAAAGATCACCGGAATCGGATGCACGGTTTGCAAATGGCAAGCAAAACAAATATGGCACCGATCTGCGATTAACAGCACGAGGCCATCTAAATGCATCAAGAACAACAAGCCACTGCACTCTAACAAGGCAACAAAACACATGGAAGGGATCCACTCAAGATGCTTCACAAAAGATGAACACTGAGCTACGGCTAATTCACTCAATAGCAGGTTCAAACAAGCATGGCAAAAGTGCAAAAGATATCAGGTTACAAACTTAGTGAAAATAACAATATGTCAGGAATTTAACATCAGGAAGCAATGTTTAGAGCACGATAACCACATGCTACAGGAACATATCATGGCAAAGAAAGGCATGGCATGAAGCTACTCAAAGCATACAACAAAAGTCCCTTACTGACCATAAGCCAAAAGGGATCAGGAAATACAATGGCAACCATGTGAACATAGCAATTATCGTTAACAGATTCAGACTTAGCAGAAAACTGGAACATGGCAAAACAAATATCAAGTAGGCATGTTTACGAGCCTGATGCACTCACCACAAGGCATTGCATGACAAACTAAGCATACATCCAGCAAGTAGACATGGCATAGAAGCTAAACATGGCAAGAACAACCTCATAGCATGCATGGATCAACTACAACAACCTCGGCAAAAATGCTTAACACGTAAACATTCTGCCAGGAACATTTTATAGCAAAAGTAGAGCTCAATTGAGTCAAGCTAGGGTGCTCCATAATTGCAAAAAAAGACATGGATGGATAGAGCACAACACTATCTACAAAACATCCTTACTGATCATGCTCAAAAGAGGCATGGATCTCTCTGTAACAACAAGGATACATGGCATAAAAATATTAACATGGCAAAGACTTAGAAGAATTCTAAGTCCCTGAAATCAGCAACATTACGAGAGCTACTTTGCATGCTTGTGCTAGTCACCATAGAGATCACAAAAATACATGGCATACACCCCTGTAAAGATGGCATGTCATACTTCAAAACACATGTAGGGCTCAAGTTCATAGGAGGCACACATCAATCATGGCAAAAATGACAAATGTCCAATTACTGATATGAATCTGAAACTAACAGAAACTAGCACTCTTGCAACACCATTTAGGGCTTCAAGATGAGCTCAAATGAACATGGCGCAATGAGATGAAATGAAGTACTCGTCGAGACGAACAATTTGATATGCTACACGCCCAAAACGGAGCTACGGATGATGAGATATGATGCTATGAAGAATGCCAAAAATTACGGGGATTAGGGCAAAAAGTCAACCCGATCCGAATCTGGATCTGGATCTGGCCGGCGCGGAAAACGAGGATCGTCGGGGTCGGCGCCGGAGTAGAGGAAGAAGCTTGGCCGGGGCTCGCCGGAGCTCGACGGGGAGGCCGGGGACCCGCGGGGCGGCACGGCGCTCGGTGCGGCGCGGCGTTGGGCAGCTCTGGTTGCCGAGGCGGCGGTGGGC